GGTCACTTTGACATACTCTCATTTAACAGTTTAGAAATCTAATTTTGAACAGTGTATCACGCATTTTGTGTACACCAGGCACATGCTTACATAAAATAACTTAATGAATCTTTAATAATGGATTCATTGAATAATTGACATTGGAACAATAGCTTAACAAATTTATATTTCAAGTACAAAGAAATATTTAAAAATTACCTTGTACAGATTTATTAAATTAACTTATTAACGCACATATACTCGTACTTACATAGAGAGCGATATAAACAATCAGTTTTATTATTTTTGAAATATTAATAATAAATGTAGTTTCTATATACATATATTGGGGGATCTTTTATTTATTCTATTAATTTTCTTTTAATTTTTTCTATTATTTGCGCTTTTTCACATTCAATGACTGTATTGTACTTTCTACACCTCTTTTTATATGTATGATCTATTTATTATTAGGTATTTATATACATATATATTCAAATTGAATTAAAAGCTGAAATTTGTTATTTTTAAAACATTTTTCAATTATTAATCTTAGGCTTATAAGTTAATGGTGAAATTAATTACAAATAAGAAGCTTTTTAAAATTTATATTTTATACAATTTTTAATCTCTATATGAAACATCAATCTTTACATAAAAACTGATTTTTGAATTAAAACTAAAACATAATTATATATTTAAATTTACATTTGCAATTAAATATATTGCTGAGTATATACTATCAAATCTTTCATATTAAAATTTAAAACGTGTTCCAAATTCGAATTTTGAACAATTTTGTTTGTACTTTATTGTTCTGCAATAAAAATACTAGTTTCTTAAATTTAATTATCTATATAATATACTAAATAAAAAAAAAACAGTATTAAAGAAAAAAATAGTGGTATACAAAATCGCATAAGCATGATAAAAGAAAATCAGATAAGATCAAAAGCTTTTATTAAAATTAAAAACTAAAATTAAATAGCAAGTATTTGTATAAATAGCCTTTACGAAATTAAGCTATTTTTTATGCGCATCTACTTTATATTTCACTTAATTAATTTAAACGTATAATTCACCGGTAAATTTAAGCGACTGTTGATAATTTCAGAAATCTTTCCTATAATCGTATAAATTTAAATGCAATCATATTTAAAAGTTCAAAATCAATATCAATTTTTGTATAAACACAAATACCTTAAAATTAATTTTAAAAAATTGTACATATCCTTAAAAATATATGAAGATCTTATTTTGTTTCATAGTTTTATACTTATTTTTAAATTACTCTATATGTGATTAAAACAATTTTTAAACACATGTTTATTCTATACATATATAACATTTTGTTTGTTATAATTATATAATATCACATCTATATATAATTATTCTATTATATGTACAACAAATTTTATTATAACACTGTTTCTCCGAGTACTCGTTTCTCCAACAATTCGACAAATATTCCGCATTGAAACGACTTTTGTAAATTATGTATAATTACACCATAATTCACAATTAAATTGTCACGAAGTTGCTCGATTCGGAATTTACTTTGAAATTTATGTTTACAATGAGAACTTTTTTTTGATAATTTTTCATAAACTTTCTTTAAAGCAATGATTAAATTGAATTTGAATGAATTTAGATATTACAATTAACTAATGTTAAACAATATTAGCTTGATTTTTTATAGCGAAGAAAATAAATATACTTATGTATACAAATGTAATTTATTCCTTTCAAACAATTCAAATTCAATTTTTTGCCTTAGATCTCACTAGTTTGACTCATTTGTGATGAATAACTGGATGAACTACTTGTAACACTACTAAGTTGTTGTAATTTTCGATTGTCGCCAGGAATACCACTTACAATTGCTGATGATAGATTTTGTACATTCACTTCATTAGTATCAAATGATAAATTCATGATTCCATCAATATTTGTATTACATTGTCCATTAATTTCTCTTGTTACAATTTTCTTTTTTTGTGTATTCTTTAATTCTTCTTGTGTTTTACAGCAACATTTCGATAGGGTTTCAAACAATTGTTTGCGATTACTCTCTGGTAAAATGCAAAATAGGAAAAAATTAAGAACAGAATTTATATCCAAAGAATATTCTGCTATATATTCACATATTTTTATAGCATTTTTAATATGCCTAAGATAATCTAAAAATAACATATATACTAGATATGGAAAACGTAACAGTGATATAACAGTTTTAATTAAAATTAAATGCAAAATTGTTCGATTTTCTTTAGTGATTAGTGGAGCTTTATGTTTTGTTGAATCCTAAAAAACCAAGAATAATTATAATGTAAATTAATAGAATGTTCGTTTTGTAAAATAAATTTAATAAGTTAAATTTAATCAATTGATTTCATATATACTTTTGAGTTCAATTAACCAGCAAGCATTTTATTCTTACCACTTTCTGCTGTAAAACTACTGCATTTGTTAAAGTTGCTCTCCTTTTATTACTTTCTCTTAGAATTAAAATTATTTTTATATTAAATATAATTAAAAGCAGAATTGGTATTATACCAAAAACTACTACAATTGTCATTCTATGCCATGTTGGTGGACGATTTCGAAAGTCCTTAAATTCAGCCCGATAAAAAATTATCTTAAATATAGTCAAATAATTATTAGAAAGAAGAGGAAAAGCTAAAATTAAATAATTTACCTTCTTGCAATGGTTTATGCTATAATCTGATAAATTCAAAGGAATACTATTGATTGAAGATTTGTTTGTAAAGTCAACTAAATAATTATTAATTGTTGTATTTTCGTTCATGTCTTCACTTTTACTTGAGTTATCAAAATTTATCATGTTTGACATTTCTAATGTATCAGTCTCATTTTCTGTATTATTAAATTTGCAAAGCTTATGTGTAAATTCGTCATAATAAACAGAATCATTGATAACATGTCTCATGGAAATATAAATCCTTGATAAAAATGTGAGAACTACTATTCCTATAAATTTTTATAAAATAAATATAAATTAATTTTTTAATATTGACTACTCAGGTAAGCAAATTACCGACTATTATGCATATGTTGGCTCGTTTTGTACTTAAAAAATGTGTCCTATTAATATCCCTTATTGCAATATAACGATTTATAGAAAAACTTACAATAATGTATAAGGATGCTGCTTCTGAAAATGTATAATTAATGGAAATTATTAATTTATAATCATTTCATTTCTATAATCATTTTATAATTATTTTGATTTTAAGCTAAATATAAAAAAATTCTTTTAATTGAAATTTAGCACAAATTGCAAGTCCTCATTCAACGAATAAGAAAGAGTCAAACTTTACAGTAACGGCACGAATTGGTAAAACTATTTTCCAAAAGTTTTATTGTTAGCTAAACTCCTGCAGACAAAAACTAAAAAATAGAACAACTTTTTTGAAATTAAAACTTACGTGCTGAAAAATTAACCAATGTTAATATGGGTCGATATCTCCAATAAATATCGTGATCTAAATGTATCCATTGAAAATATTCTAATACTTTTGCGATTGAGGACGACAATCTTAATATATCAACAATTGATATAGCATTCAAATATATTGCAGTTATATTAATTTTATTTCTGAAAATTAAAAAAAAAAATAAATTCTGAAATTAAGTTAAATTATTGGAGCATTTCTTATTTCAATATACCTACCTTGTTAAAACAAATAAATTTGTAGCATTTCCTAAAATACCAATAACTGCGATAACAGATTGTATGATTGCTTCAACGATTCGAGGCTCTTCAAATTTATGGAACGAATCCAATGCATTTTTCGAGTCATTAAACATTATTTAAATTTTTAGTAAATTCTTTTAAAAAATAATAAGGTTTTTATTGAAATTTTTATGTATTTTTCTTTTTCTCCTTTTTGTTTTACTTTTCTTTTTTATTCTCACCAACGGAACATCTTTTACTTTCAATGACTAAATAAGGTTTGATTTCATTTCAAAATAGTTATCTAAACTATTTTATTATTTTATGGAATCCAAATTTAAATAATAATAAAAAAAATTTAAAGGAAGAGCAAACCTGTCTTGAAACATCCGAAAAAAAAAACTTGTATAACAATAATGAATTTTATATAACATAAAATACTTACATTATATTTGCACATATATGCATGTATATTCATTAACGTTGTTTTTGTATAACATATTGAATTTAAATTTAAAGTAAACCGGCTAAATTTTAATGAATTGTCCAAATTCATACAATTAAAAGTAATTTAAATAATTCAAATAGCTTGGTATGTAAGTTAAAATTAAGTAATAAGTTTAGTTGATAAGTTAAAATTAAGTAAGATTCATTATGAATAAACTATATGTACATCTAATTTATACTTATTAGTGACAGCTATAAGAAAAGTCTCATATAAAATGTATATGCATACACTGTTAACATATCCAACCAAATTTTTCATTTACAATTTGTTTAAATAAGGTCAATCACTCCAAGTTTGCAGATAATTTAATTAATCATATACAATACAAACATATATATTCACGAAGTTTATGGTAACATATTTACATATTGTAATTAACGAATCCATGCCTACAAATTGTTCTTACAAGCTTTTTTAAATATATATGCTTAATATTTTGAAGGAAATCATACTTCTTGAAAACAAAATACAATAAAAGATTATAAGAACATAATCTGATGAGGTAGTTCTATTCAAAGCAAGTTAACTTAACGGTTAACTTAACGTTAGAAATATGTACGTTAGATTTTAATAACGTTTAAGAAGAACGTTGGACTTAAAAGAAAGAAATTGTCCAAATATTTTAAATTAGATTTTCCAGATAATGTATTAAATATTCCAATTCGCTCTTGAAATTTTGCTAATGTAAACTCACCTTAATATTTTTTCAACATGAAATTTTTATATTACATGTTGGATTTTTAAATTTTTTAAAACTGCTATTCGACACTAGGGAAAGATTCTTCTTAAACGTCAATCAGATATCTGCCAAGATTAGTTTTTATGACATTTAAAAATTTTGACACTTTTGTCTCGCCTCCAGTTCTTCTTTTTGGGCGAAAAAAAAAAATATTTTTACAAAAAAATACAAAATGGAAATTATAGCAAAATTAAAAGACCAGGGCTGGTAAGTATATTTTGATTATGTATATTGTGAAAAAAATATTAAATTGCATTTTTGAAAATTTAATTAGGTACCTATTAGATGACGGTATAAAAAAATTACCGGAAGATGTTGATAAATCTGACACAAGGAAAATTATTCAAGCCGCCATGGATGTATGTTACAGTTTAAAATAATTTACTAATTTTATAAACGTTTTTGATATAAAACTATAAAACTAATCATAATTTGAATTTTTAGATGGATTTTCGAGAAATAGCAGGAGGTGCCTTACCAACTGATCTATCCAGAAAAGATGAGGCTATATCAGGTCGCATTGTGCTACAAATATCAAAAATCCGTAATATAGCTGCGCCGAAAGCAGATGAAGAAAACAATTATGCTCCAAGATTGTTCCAGCTAGAGTTAACTGATGGCGTCAATCAAGTTCAAGCTTTAGAAATTGAATATATATCAGCTTTAAGTTTCAATACACCACCTGGAACAAAAATTTATTTAAAATGTGAAAAAATTCCATTGATGCAGGGTATGTTAATGCTAAAATCCAATGATGTGCAAGTTTTAGGAGGACGTGTTGCTCATTTGCTTGAAAAATGGGAAATGAGTAGAACATTATTGAAATATGCTAAAGGCGGCAGAGTAATGAATGGTGGCTCATCAGGTCCACCTCCATGGACCCCATTTGGGCAGCGAATTCAACAACAAAATGTAAATGCTGGAAATGACAAAAACTTTAAAAGTCTTGCAGCTGCAAATGAAAAAGAAGGCAAGGAAAATAATGAATTCGTTGCAATGAGAAAAGAAGCTATAGCTGAAGCAGCAAAAGCTGGCTCAAAAAAGGTTTCTATTACACGGCATATTATAAGACTTTGTTTAACATAGAAATATTTAATTTAAAAATATTTTACTCAAACAGGTTTTTGGCGGTGGAAACCAACCTATAGTAGATCATAATGTCAAAAAAATTTTAGAAAAAGGGTATTCAGAAGAGGAAGCTAAAAACGCTTTACGAGCAACGCGGAATAATTTAGAGAGAGCTTTGTTTAATTTAAAACGTCGAGAGGAATCAAAGAATAAAGATGACTCCAAAAGTAGCGGTTACGATAAGTCTAAAAGCGGTGTAACAATCAATGACCGAAGTAGTTTAAATAGTAGTAAACGTGGCCCAAATAGCAATGCTCGTGACAACTTTTCTAACAAAAAAGGTGGGAAAGATGATGTGGTGCCTACAAAACCGGCTGGGAATGTCTCTCTTTTTGATTTCTTAACAGACAAACTGCCTTCTGTGAGCTAAAATAACTGAAGACACCCATAATCCTTTATATATTTCTTTTGTTTTTTCAGAATTCAAATGAAACAGAAAAATCTTCAATAAGCACTTCACAAAGTCAACAACACTTTGGTGGTTCATCTTCATCAAATCAGCAACATTCTCAACAATCATCAAGACATGAATCTCGAACTGAACGTATTTCAAGGCCATCTGATTCATATAGCTCATCAAATTCAAGGCCATCACATTATAACAACAGTAGTAATAATAGTAACTCTCAGCAACAACAATCATCGTATACTGAAAGCAGAAATCAAAATAGCCAACAAAATCAGCACCACATTCCAAATAGTCAATCCAACAGAAATTCATTAGGACAAAAGTTCGAAAATAATTTGTCATCAAGTTTTCAGGCTAATCGGAATTATTCTCAGGATAATGAGAGACCCAGAAATCGAAATAACAGAGAATCGACTGAGAGATCTGGATCTTCAAATAATGCTGGTTCAAATCGAAACTATCAAAACTCCTATCAAGGGCGTAGCGGTGGAAATTCTGGGAATGATCGTCAATATGATGACCAAAACTCTGAACGTTATTATAACAGTAGAGATCAAAGAAACAACACGTATAATCAACGAAATACGAAATCGCAACAAGGTAATGAAAGGGATAACAGAAGTGGAGGTAATGAGCGTAACAATTATCAAACATCCAGTACTAGTCATTTTCAGTATCATCAACATCAAAATAACAGTGGAAGCAACTATGATAATAACAGAAATTCCAGAAATGATAATCAATCATATCGTAATGGTTACGACAATACACGAAACAGTGGTGCTAGTGGAAGTTATCAGAATAAAAATAACCATTCCCAAATCTCTTCATCACGATATTCTCAAAAAGATAACACAACAAATGCTTATCAACAAAACCAATCGCAAAGTCAAGGCCCCAACAATGCAAGAAATTATTCAGACAACAGACAACAATCTTATCATCAACAACAACAGTCAAATCAAAATTCAGAAGCAAAAGTAAATAAAATAATTGAAGACACTTCAAAATTGAAAATAGATCAGCCGCCTCAACACCAACAACAACAACCATCACAACAGCAACAACAACAGCAACAGCAGCATAGTCAAAAACCTCGTCATAATCAAAACGCGGGCTCTCATCGTAACCAAAATATGACTTATCAACAGCAACCACAACAACATATGGCATCGCAACATCAACCACAAATAATGACGGTTGTATCACATCAAGGACCACCACCAAATCAACCGCAAATCTCACAACACACTGTTCAATCAAGTCAACAACAGCAACATCCACATTTCCAACCACCACCACAGGTTCATTCAGCGCAGCATTCCTTACAAACCAGCGCATTCACCCAAATTCCAAATGGCTTTGCTTATGATCCCAATAAAATAATGGGCTTCCAAAATAAAGAGACTAATGACTTTGCCATGACATTGCTAAAAAGTCAAGGAATCCCAACTGCATTAACGCCAACTACAGCTTTAGCTCCACCTCAGCCGCCTCATCCACATCCTTCAGTAACACCCACAGCAGCTCCTCAGTCAACCACTCCTCATCCAGCTGCAGCATATCAAACAATGCAAATCGGTCATCCCCCACCTCCGACCATTAATCAACATTCATTCGCTGCTCCAGGTCCTGCATTTGTAATGCAACCAACAAGTATCGCACCTCCTCCACAATTAGCAACGATTGGACCACAAGTTGCTCATACTCATACATCAGTTGCTGCTGGAATAGCAGCATCATTGCAAGGTCCGCCTCAACAAAATCCGGGAGCCCCATATAACATGAATCATTGTGAAAGCTGGAATTGGAAAATTGGTGATCGTTGTATAGCAAAATATTGGGATGACGGAAGAGTATGATAAAATTTGGCATTTTTTCTTTTATAAATTTATTATTTTTTTTTATTTTTAAGTATTACGAAGCTGAAATAACTGGAATCTCTGACAAAACTTGTGTAGTTTTTTATTTAGGCTATGGAAATCATGAAGAAGTTTTAAAAACAGATTGCTTGCCTATTTCTGATGCCCAGATTCGTGCCATTAACTTTGGAACAACAGCTGTTGGTGTTGCAATACCACAACAACAACCACCTCCTGGAGCTGTTCAATTAAGTGCAGCTTCACGTGGATTGCCAAATCGATATCGAAGTGATCGGCAAATGTATGTACCACCACCAAAACGTGATGGATAATCTCAAAAAAGAATTAAAAATTAAAGATAAACTGAGAATATTTAAATTTTATTATGAGAAAAATGAAAAGTAAAAAGGAGTAGTAAATAGTAAACACAACATAAAACAAAAAAAAAAAAAAAAAAAAAAAAAAAACAGAACAAAGATAAAAAGTAATTGTTACACTTAAAATAGTATAGAGATTTTGAATATTTTCAAGCAAGAAGTTTGTTTTTTATTTTATTTTCTTTCGCTATAAAGTTTTAAAAACATTCTTTGGAAAGAAAAATTAAGTTGAAAAACTAAAAATTTTTTTATTTTTGTTTCTTATATATATATAACGGTATTAAAATTTGTATAAAAATCTTTTAATTGGCTAACATATTATATTGAACGAAAAATTTAAATTTCGTTAGACAGAATTATACAGAATAAATTGGATTTTATTTCTTCTTAAAAGCAAAAATTTTTATAACGAGCTTCTTGCATTCTATTATTTCTTTCTCAAAAACAAAAAATTTCTTTTGCAGCACTAGTATTTATTCCAATAAGTATTACAGAAAAAAAAAAGCAAAATTATCATGAAATATTAAAACACAGTATATATTGACGCAACATTCATAAATATAGTTTTCAGTTTACATAGCATGTACATCTTTTAAAGGGAATTTTTAAAGTCACTGATAAAAAACAAGACTTAATAAAGAAAATTAAATGCAATTTTATCGCTGGAATAGTCTTTATTATTTGAGAAAAAAAAAATTATTTAAAAAATATCAGTTTCTTTGGAAGAATTGTTATGAAATTTTTTCATGTTAATCAAATATACAATATCTTTTAAGAGTAAGACCCTCTCAATAAAATAATGATTATTAACAAACTTTAAAAATTTGATAAAATAACAAAAAAAAAAAAAGGATTAAAATGTTATTTAATTAAAATAAGATTTCTTTTTTTAAATTGAAAATACAAAAGAAAAAAAAAATTAAAAAAAAAATAAATATTTTTCTAGGCCCATTTTTGTCAAATTTTGCAAATAATTTTGAATATATTCAAATATATATATTAATAAAATCAATAATCATTAAAAAAAAAAAACTTGAAAAAAAAAAACAATTCATGTCCTTAAAAATGTTTAATGGTAATAAAAATAAATTCAAATATACACAATAAATATAATTTAATATACAATAAAAATCAATTATGATAAAAATTTTAAGCCAGGATAAATATTTTATTTTAGATTTTGTTGAAAATATTATTGACTTTATAATTGTTATTTAAAAAATATTTTCACATGTGTTTTTTAATATATTTTTTTTTACTTTTTGCTTTGTTTTGCTTTTTTTTTTGTAAATTTCATTAAAAAAAGTGTAAAATTTTTACAAATTTTTTATTTTACATAAATTTTTATTTTTGCGATGCTCCTTTTAGATTCAATATATTTTTCTTATTATTGTATTTCTATCTTAAAAAATTTTTATTAGTATTTTTATTTATTTTTTGTTAATTTTGTCAATTAATTTTTAACAAGAAATATGAATGTATTTTTTTTATTTTTTTTGTTCTTAAAAATTTGTAATCATGAAATTTTTTTTGAAAATTTAAAAATATAATCTATGTATTTAATTATTTAAAAATTTTTACTTTTTTTAATTTTATTAAGAGTTATTGATTAGAAATTACATTTCTTTTGTATTTTTTTTTTGTTTTGTTCTATTAATATCGAATCCAATAAATAAGAATCATTTTGAGATATGTTCGTCGAATAGGGCATACAAATGGGATGAATGTCATTCATGGAAGTATGAAAATCTCTGTTGTTAGCATTTTGTTTTGCTTTGATTATTTAAAAAAAATTTCTGAAATATAGCCATATCACCATATTTTACAGATTCATCAGTTACGCGTAAAGGAATCATAATTTAAGAAGTTAAATTTTACTTACGGATTTAGTATTTATTTTCATTGATTAAACTTTCATGACTTTTAGTATAAAAAATAAAGAGAATAATTGCCAAAATATGAATAATAATTGTTATCATACAAATGGGTTCATATTATCATATACATCTTATATGCTATCAAAATTACCATTAGTTTAAATGTCAAAATTGACATAAAATACACATTTGTACATATATTAACGGGACTGATCAGAATGAAGTGAAATTACCAGTGGTAAAATAACTAAAAATTTTATTTTATCGTTGGCGAATTTTTGATATAATTTTTTTTCCATATATGTGTGATATTATATGCAAAATATTAAAATGATTTTGACGTTCTGCTGTTATTCTGTGTTAAAAAGAAAATTATCTGTAATTGTTGTGACAAAGCGGTAACTTTGGTTAGTTTTTACATTAACTTACATAACTATAGAATTACAGACCATTTTTAATTCAAAAAGTCCTCTTCCAGATCTGCAAAAACATTTTGTTTATTTTAAATATGCAATATGAAAATAAGAAATAAACGAACGCACTATAATACATATATATTTTTGGTTGAAAATCAGTAAACGTCAACAATTTGAAAGCCAGTCTAATCACTGAACACACGATAAAATAAACAATTGTGAATTTTTATTCACAATCTTTAAGAGCACAAAAATTAAACAAAAATATTCGAAACAATTTTGAAGTTCATTCTCTCTCCCTCATCAACAATAATAATAATAATCAGTAGTCAGTAAATGTTTAAAAACACAACAAACTCAACGTATTTTGTTCATTTCATAAAGAATAGTTGAGTTGAAAGCGTCAAAAAGTTGAAATAAGGGAATAAAAATTAAAATATTTGAATATATTCGATAATTTATATACATATTTTGAAAAAATATTCTTTATTCATAGAAAAAAGGTTTTATCAATATTAAAAAAAAAATAAAGTGCGAAATTATATGCGAAAATTATGAGAATTTACGGGAAAGAATAAGAATAAATTAAAAAATCGAAAAAACAAGAAAAAAATCATAAAATACGTTCTTAAACATCTGGATATTTATTTATAGCATACACACATAAAATATAAAAGTAAACATAATATAGATACATATACACATATATACATATACATAAAATTATATGTTAGGTATTGAAGCGAAATACAAAAAATAAAAATTAGAAAATTTACACTTATGCGAAAATAAATTTTTGAACGCGAAAATTAGTGTTGTTTTCCTATTTAATTAACTAGTGATTCTTTGAATTAAATTTCAAATTCATTAATATATTTTGTAATAAAATAATTATTGAAAATTGTAGTTGTTTACGTAGCCCAAAATATAAAAAAAGTGCAAAAGAATTGCTTTTAATAAATTGTGAAAAATTGAACTAAATTACAGTTAGGTAACCACCTATAATTCTTTTTACAAACAGAAAATCAAACTAAAAAATTTCAGAATGAATTTATCATTTGCTGGTTGTGGTTTTCTAGGAATTTATCATGTTGGTGTAGCAGTCTGTTTTAAAAAGTATGCACCACATCTTTTACTTGAAAAAATTGGTGGTGCATCAGCTGGAGCATTGGCAGCATGTTGTTTATTATGTGATTTACCATTAGGTAAGTTTTATTTTGTTAATTAATTCAAATAATATTAATATTTTAAATTAGAAATAACTTGGGTAGGTCACCTTATTAAAAATATATACAGGTACTTTATTTTAAATATAAAGGTAACCTACTTAATATAGGTAGCTTAAATTTTTGATAATGTAGTACATATTCAATTATAAACAAAGTATAATAGACACTACATTCTATAAAAATTAGAAGGAACCGTTTCTGTGGTTTTTAACTTAAATAGTAAAAAAGTACTACCTATGTACCTACATAACATCTGTTTTATAAAATCCAAAAAACACTTGCTTAGTAACATTTAAAGTTTTATTACCTGTATTTTTATTGTGAATTACTTATTTAATCTATGATATTAATTAAAAAAAAATAGAAGAAAAACTAAATTCACATGAAATTGCTTGCATTCGTTTAATCAAAACAGAAAAAATAAACGTAAGTTTGTTTTTACTACTTTCACTATCGTTAAAATTGAAATTGTTAAGAAATCATACGATTCTTTGTTACACTTAATGATCGAAAAAAAAAAATTAGTTTTTGCAAGTGTAAAACTTGTGTTACATAAAAAAATATTTAAGTATTTAAAAAAAAATATAGGTATAGGTTTTTTACTTTGTAGATAAAGTACATTTAGATAATAATAATTAGAATTCTCAGTTTTTTCGGTATAGAGAAGTAGGTAGGTATGTAGTTATATTTAGGATGCCTGCTAGTTTGCTTTTTGTTAATTATATTAAACCCATATCCTAAATTTATTATTATTTTTAACGTAAGTGCTTATATTACAAATTGTTCATATACTTTTAATGAACCCAGTAAAAAATTGGTGAATAATTTCTTATTATCTTTATGATTCTAGAATATTTTATAAAGTTATAAGTATATACTTACTTAGTTACTTATTTAAGTAATTAAGACTTTACTGAAATTAATTTTGTGAATATGAAATCATTTCTTATTGTCATGAAATAAATGCATGTACGATTAGGTAACGTACATATATAAATTTATTTATTATTATTATTATCGAATAATTTTAAATCTATGATTAATGAAATTATGGAATTGTGTAGGAATAATATTAAAAATTAGAAAATTATTTGAAGAAGTACATAATATATCTACATGTATTACTTACCCATATAATTACTTGATTAGAAGTTTTTTCTTTTAAATTTTGGGAGCATATGTAGAACCCTTTTTATTATACTTAATTGCTATTCAAATAAATTATTAGTAATTATTGCTGCTTACTGCAAAATAAATTATTATTTCTTAAAACATGAATGAACTATTGAATATTATAAATTAAGCTTAGTGCTAGACTAGTTTATATGCTTTAAATGTAAAATTAAAAATTTTAAATAAGTAGTATTCTTGAAATCATTATGAAATTCTTAAATTAAAACGCAATTTATTAAATAATTAGTAAATAATAAAATAAAATACAAGAGGTCATAAAATCCATTAAAAATAAGTAAAATCATTTTTCTTAACATTAATCTAAATAAATCAAATTCAAAAAAAAAATGAAGTGACATTCTTACTACTTATTTAAGTATATTTATAAAAAAAATATAAATTTTATATAATTATAAGTATTAAAGAATATTTCAAAAATTATAACTTATCAACATTTTTATATTCTTATTTCTTTTAATATTTATATGAAAAATAAAACAAAAATTTTAGATTCCAAAGTTCTATTGAAAAAGTTTGTCAACCTGTCATACGAGTATAAAAATATTTACTTAATTACTTAAATTTATAAAATTTTCAAAGTTCTAACTGCCCGGCAAATATGTACGCATACATATATACATAGGTATATAAGGTAATATAAATAATTATACTTATATTGTATAATAATTTGAAGTGTAATATTTAATTTCAACTTATGAAAAATTTATAAATATTTTTACACATCACAAAATATTTAATAAATATAAATAGATTTCTTATCTTAATATTTAATTCAGAAATATTTCATACGAATTGTTTATATATGTAGTTCTGTGCAGATGAATGAACAACCTGTAGGTCAGAAAATCGTAATATTTATATAAGTAAATATATAATTTAAAAATTTTGAAGTAAACTAGATTAAAAATGTTTTTTATGGCGTAATATTATTATTCCAGTGGGAGGCTGAAAATTATTTTAATAAATTTTTGGCACAATTTTTTGTCAAAATATTTAAAGAGGATTTTAAGTAAAGATTAAATGAATTTAAATTATGCATTCAAGTGCTTACTTAAAATACAATTATTATTTTCTTTGCACATATGTAATTAAAAAATTAATTGATTTTAGAGATAACACTTACACAATGTACATAAGAAGGAATTGCAAAAGGTCTTGTAAAATTTATATGTGAATAAATCGATAAGTAGATTGTTATGAGCTTTGTAACAATTTTAATTTCTTGAATATAATTTTAATACTTACTTGTTATTTTGAATATACTTATCTTCTATATATTTCCGATATTTAATATAAAACCAATTATCCTATTTAAGTTACCGAACAAATTCAGTCTATGGTTAAATAATCTATGGTTAAATAAGAAAATTTAATTGAATTTATATTTAAAAGTGATTAAAAAAACTTGACTGAAAAGTGAAATGAAGCAACTTAAATCATATTTTTTTATTCCAACTACTACTTGGTTACATTTAAACTTACATATATGTACCTATATGTGTTTGTACACAAATGCCTAGATCAAAATTTACTATCATAATTTCGAAAATTTTATTTTTTCTTTCTGAATTTTATTATCACTTTTCTATATGTTACTTAAATTAGCATAAAAATTTCATTATTATATTAATTTTTTTTTTTAAATTTTTATTTTTTTGTTAATGAATTTTTAAAATATTTTAACGTAAAATCAGATAAAATCAACCAGGTAATTTGTTTTTGTTAAAAATTGCAAGTTCAGTGTCAATGTCAAAATGCCGAAAAAAGTTTAGAGACAACAAAAAACAAAAGTTTAGAGTAAACAAAACAAAAACGTAACAGAAAAGAGATCAATAAAATAAATGGTCGATGAGCAGTTTAACTTGCTTTCATAAAATGAATAATATTATTACATAGTTTGTTTGTAGATATTTAATTTTTGGAATTTCGGTGGATCAGCAATTTTTAATTATGAAGTTTTTTTTTTGTTTTGCATTTGATTTTTATTCGTGTATGTATTTTAAAAAATATTTACTTACTTACTTTTTGTTTTAAATTATGTAAAAAATTTTGTTTTCATTTTGTTGACGTTAATAACCTGTGAGCCGTGATAATTTGCATTAAGTATGTACCTATTTGTTTTGTTAGTTGTGATAATTATGATATTATTTTTGATGGCATTTTAAAAATTTTTATTGAATATTTAATTAAGTAGGTACTTAAATTTAAAGTAAAGTATTGTATACGGAATTGCAATTGGTACCTATAAGTATGTAAAAAGAAGGTACGAGAAAAGATGTAAAAAATAAGAAGTGTTCTATTTAAACTAGATTTTTTAGATAGACTAGATTAATAATAGCTTTGTAGAATAACTCAACTTAAAATATGTCGAAATTACCTGAAATTGTAATTTTTCAGTATAAATTTCAATTGTTTTTAAATAAAATCTTCATGACTCATAAAATAGAGCCTTAATAATTTTGGATATGGGAAAATTTTAAGTAAGTCCTTAAGATTTTAAATTAGGTCAACTTGTATTTGTAATTAAAATTTATTTTGTTTAGAATTCATTAAATCAGTTTTTTCCCCGATAATAAGTACGCTTATAAATTATAATAGGCCGATTTTTACACAATGTAACACTAATTATTAATTTATTTTACTAATAATTAGTAAAATATAATCAAATAACTATAAAAGTAAATATGCATGTATATGAGTGCGTGTTGTGAGAATTCGTATGATATTTATGATGTTTGTTAAGAAAATATTGAAATAAAAAAGAGAGTTATCAAAGAGTTAAAATTAAATAAATTTAAATTTAATTGACATATTTACACAATAAGTAAATAAGTATTTGTTATATACATAAGTATGTATACCTTTTATTTCACATCAGTCTACAATATAATTAGAAAATCAGTACCTATTTTATATTTATTTAGTTCCTTGAGATAATCAAAAGCTAAGTACAAACACTTAATTATATTAAAATTATCATTTTAATTTTGTTATTCTTTAAATTTTTTAATTTTTAAAAAATTAATATTTACAAATCTCATAGTTTATACTTCCTTGAATATTAAGTTTGCTTATTTTATTATGATGAAATTAGATGGTCTGCCTCCAATAATTTAATATTTTAAGCCTAAATAGTTTTTCTTATATTTTTAAATATTTATTAATAAAAATTAATCATATTTTTTGTTATATTTAAAATATAAGATGTACATATGTACATATATACGCATTAATCACAATAATTGAATCCTTCAATTATCAATAATAAATAAATATATTTTTAATATAAGTATATACATATGTACATATTTATGTATATATGAATATATTAAAATGAACTCAATTTTGAAATTTCTTATTATTTGTATTTCTTTAAATATTATTTACTTATTATAAGAATAAATAAAAGGGAAGACATATTAAAAGTAAATAAGCAAAAAAATAATAAAAGAGAATTAGTGTTCACAAATGAACTAGGGGGCATTTTTTTTTAATGATAATATTTAATATTAAAATATAAAGTACTTATTTTTGTGCAAATATAATTACATATACAAAAAAATAAATAAGTTGTAAATAAAAATGAAAATTTATGTTCTATTTATAATATAAAATATTTTTTTAACAGTCGAATTTATTTTTCTTAAAATTTCAGAAAAAAAAATAATTTTTAAAATTGAAATTTTTGAATCAAAATTTAATACTATTAACATGTGGATTAAAAAAATTTAAAACTAGAAGTTGGAGTTACACTGAGTTTGGATTTTTTCAAAAGAATTTAG